TCCGGTTTTTCAGTGATGATAATTTTATCACCATATTTTGATTTCAATTGTATCTTTAACACTTCCAATAAAAATTGACAAACGATTTTCATAGTATCTAAATATTTTTTCATTAATTTCATAGTATCTAAATATTTTTTCTATCAAGTCATTTGTAGATTTATCTGCAGGACGACCGACTTTACCTCCAGTAGTTATTCATAGGGTATCTAGCCTTGGCAGCAACTAAATCATATTGATACTAAATACGTGCAGTAACATTTTTTGGCTACGTCATCAGACCAACTTCATCCAACTTTAATAATCAATTCTTTAAATTCAAGGGTAACAACTTTATAAATTTTACGCCTAACATTTTGCGCTTTTTTTTTTCAGTCTCTTCATTGTCGCAAAATCAATCGCTTCATCGTTTTTCAGCCTCTTCTTTTGTTTCATCGTCACAAAATAAACAATATTTTTTGAAATAAAAACTAAATTCAAATACGCGAGGTCTGGTACGAGGTGAACTAAATTTGGATGTACTGACTTGATCCATGTGTTGCTGTCTTATTAATTTTATAAAAGTACTCTTCCGAGTATACTCGGAAAGTTACTCGGAATAGTATTGATAGAAATACTATTTCTATCAACACTAGAATCAATTAAATTTTTATTCCCCAATTAACACCTGTTTTACTTGCTGTTAAAAGTTTACTACAAATAAAACATAATTGTGACATTTTAAAAAAAGTTTTGAATAGTACAAATCTTTATGAGAAATATTTAAAAAAAACCAAACGTATAAACTGTAAAAGCCAGAAAAAAAATCTTCAAGACAAACTGAACGCGCATAACTTAGTTTAACGTGAGGAAACTTTTAGCGCCCATAACTCAGTAGAAAATTTAGTTTGAAAAATCGTGCAAAAGAATATTTAAGTAATGATCATGCAAAACCAGACAATTCCACTCCTAACATTTTACGTGCATTTAGTGCCCCAAGCATTGTGGATATGTTCTACGCGCCTTCAAATAGATCAGACGTGCATAATCAGACAGGATAAAGCATGATGAAATCGTTGATTTCTGCAGAATCAGTAAAAAAATGTTTTTTATTTTTCTCATTTTCCCGTAATTTTTTCAGAGTTGACTTATCTGGTTTTGCAGGTTTACTGGTAATCTACTAGGTAATCTATTACTGTTACTAGGTAATCTGTTCATAACAGAAGTCATAAAAATGGCTTTAAAAGAAATTATATTTAAAAAAATTAGTAAATAAAAATCATACTAAAATAATACTATTCAATTGCTTTTTTTAACATATCACATTTATAAAAACCTAGTTTTAATTAAATGTAATTTATTTTAGAACAGCTAAAAAAATAAAACTCTTTAAAACTGTGCAACATTTTGTTGTTTTAATCCAAAATCAAAGAAATGCCTCAGAAACTTTTTTTGTAGATAGTAAAATACACTAGGGGTATGAATTACGTCATGGTATATGCCATAAATTAAGTCATGCTATATGGGGGATGAAGGAGGGAAAAGAGGAAGTGATTTTGCGACGACTTGTTGCTAAAGTGTAACGATGTTGTGAAGAGGGGAAAAGAGAGGTGAAAAACGATCAAAAATTGCGTGACAATTTATAGGCGATCCACAGAAAATTCTACATCCGTACTTTTTTTGCAGATGTGGAATCGGTGTGGACTTTTTACATTTTATTTTTAATAACTTTTCAATAAAATTTAATAATTTTCAGTTCTATGCAAATTATGACAAACCTGCGACTATTTTTTCGACTATTTTGATCGAACTATTTTGATAAATTGCTGAATTGGATAAAATTGTTGAATTAAAAGATTAAAAAAAAAATAAGTAGTAAAAAATATACACCGAAGCGAAGAGTTTTTTTTTTCAAATTTACTTTAGCTATTATTTAGTATTGATATATAAGAAAAAAAATTACTTAAAATTATATAAAGTTTGAATTTATAAAGCATTATTAAATAATAGTTCGAATGAACGTTAAGGGTTCTGAAAATTTTGTACTAAACGTCTCGAATAAAAAAATAATATGGTCACACAACAAGTTTTCCTATCAAATGATCACACATTCCACAATAAGGTCACAATTTCTTTATACAATGATTGATTTAAAAAATTAAATTTCAAGGGCTTCAGCACATTTTAAGACATTGATTAATAACATTTAACAAGTGAATGTTTTCGAGGGCAGCTGCAACTCTTTCTTTATCAGCTAGCTGTTTGTTCACTGTAAAAAAAAAATAATAATAAAAAAATAATTTCGCTATGATAATAAAAGCAGACATAAAATCACACAAACAATTTTCTATGATTAAAATATAATATTCGAAACCAATAAAATAATTTGATGACTAAAGTATTTTTTAAATAACAAAAGAAGAAATAAAATGAAATGACACAACAAAATTTTTCTCCTAACAAATTAATTAAATTTAGGCTCACCAGCTGTCTCTGAAACATGGGTTCCTGGCGAAATCATAACGTCAACCTGCAATTAATAATTTTCATGAAAAAATATCATAAATTTCGCAAAGCTGGGACATATATTATTAATCTAAATGGGATAAAGTCTCGAGACCAACAGAATAGAACATCATCAGAACAGAAACATCAATATTAAAACAAGAAAATAAAAATTTTGTTTTATCGCATTTCTCTAGTGAGATTCATAACAATAAGGTTATAAAAGTATAAAAACATAATATAAATTAATCATTAACTTATTTATCTAAACAGAAATTTAAATACTTGTACTCGTTATTTTGATAGCTGTAAATACTATTTTGATAGCTATAAATATTAATTTGATAGCTATAAATATTATTTTGATAGCTATAAATACTATTTTGATAGCTATAAATATTAATTTGATAGCTATAAATATTAATTTGATAGCTATAAATATTTTTTTATTGCTATAAATACTATTTTGATAGCTATAAATATTAACTTGATAGCTATAAATATTAATTTGATAGCTATAAATATTAATTTGATAGCTATAAATATTATTTTGATAGCTATAAATATTATTTTGATAGCTATAAATATTATTTTGATAGCTATAAATATTATTTTGATAGCTATAAATATTATTTTGATAGCTATAAATACTAGTTTGATAGTTATAAATATTAACTTGATAGCTATAAATATTAATTTGATAGCTATAAATATTAATTTGATAGCTATAAATATTATTTTGATAGCTATAAATATTATTTTGATAGCTATAAATACTATTTTGATAGCTATAAATATTATTTTGATAGCTATAAATATTATTTTGATAGCTACAAATACTAGTTTGATAACTATAGATATTGTTATTAATATAAAAATATATTATTATAATATATTAATATAAAATAAATATATATTTATATATATATATAAGTACCTTAAATCTCGAAGGTAACGAACGAAGTAAAAGAACACGTATGGAAAGCCCAATTAATGTTGCCATACTACAATGCGGAATGGTAGGGGTAAAGTAGACCTGTAGTGAGTTTTGCGTGTCGTCTATTTGTATATTTTTTTCTTCCACCACGTTTAGTTGCTCTAATGTCAAAGGATGTTCAGGATCGTTGATATAACGGATTAAATGTAAAAAAGTTAAAGATTTTTCAATCAATTTATCACATTAAATCAACAGATAAAACAGAAGATGTAAAAACAAAAAACAATAATTTTGAAGACAACAGTAATATATAATATTATGATTCAACATATAAAACGTATCTAAATTTATTCGAACAAAATGTAAAAAATAAAAGATATCAAAAATTTCTCTAGCATCGAAACAATCATAAACTTCTTCATTTTTTTCTTCATCAGTGACAATTCTATCGCCAACACTCTCATAGATTTCTGGGTTGGCATTCTGGAGCCCACTCATTTTTATTATTGCTAAAAAAAAAAAAGAATGATGCAAAATAATGCAAAAAAATGATTTTTAATATAAATATTTTTGATAAAATTGTAGTAGTACGTAAATGTTATTTTTATTAAATATTTATTAATTTTACTAAATGTTGAAGAATTTTTTTTTTTTTCTGATTTCAATAAAAATACTGCACATAGATTAGAACAGACTTCACCCGACCTACCAAGTTTTTGCTAGAACCAGCGTAAAAGTCTAATTAGAAAATGTGACCAACATGAGTAATATCAAATACACTTAACGCCATCATGAACCGTTGTACGATTTGAAAATATACCGTTGCAAGCTCATGCAATTTCACCGATAATATTTATAATTTGCCGACTAAGGGTCTAATTTGCCGACTGAAAATCACTGATGGGGGTGTGGGGGTGTGACACTCCCTCCCCCCTACACCACTATCGCGCCGGCCTTGACTATACACACTATATTTTAACATATTATTTGTGCAAATATAAAAAATATGATATAGTTACAAATGTTTTTAAGTAATAAAAGTTTCATATGTTAATATATGAAATATATAACTTTTAAATTAAATCTAACGAGTATCCACATTAATATAATTACTTAGTTTGTGTTATAAACACATTGTTTAATTATTATTATTTATAATTAAAATTATTTTCAGATTAATAAATGTAGCATGCTTGAACATAAAAATGCTTAATTTTTTATGTTTAAACTTAAAAATGTTGCACAAAAAAAAAATTATATTTAAATATTAAAAAAGTATAATCAAAAAAAAAAAAAAATTCTAATAAAGAAAAATTGTTCAAAATTATCGGCTAAATATATTTCTTTCTGTTTTTAAATTTACAATATTTCTATATCATAAATACAAAAATACATAATTCAAACGCCATAAAAATAAAAAAATAACATTTATATTACTAGAAATTTCAAAACAAAAAATAAAGTAATATTTCTGTGATATTAAATATAAGTTTAAATAATTTTATAATTATAAAAGCATAAAAAAATAATTATAATAATTTTAACTATAAAATACTTTTCCACCCGAATTTTGAAGAATCTAAGTTTCAGAAATTTATAATCATGTTCGAAGTAGTATAGTTAATAAATGCTATTTTAAGTTATTGTATGTAGATAAATTATTATAAATAATTTGTATTATAAAATATGTTTAAAAAACATCTAAAATAGTTTATAAATTAAATACGAAAATTTAATTAAAAGTTTCCTCATCTTCAGGTTGAGCTTCTGTTATAAGGGAAGTTAAAGCTATCGCACTTTCATCACTTTTTACCACCGAATATGCTGGATCTAAAAATTTAAAACAATGTAAAAATTGAAAAAAAATTGAAAAAAAAGCTAAAAAATATTTTAAATCAATCTGCATTTTCAGGAGATTTACATTAAACTGAACTTTCTAGATAATCAAACTTATACACAATAGAATACACAATAGTATGATAAAAAAACAATTGCAACACTTACAAAAAACAATTGCAACACAACACGTTTACTATTTTTCATAGAAAAATCAAATTAAAAAAAAACAGTTGCAACACTGTTGCTACTTTTGTATATACATTTTTAATAAAATAACAACTAGTTGGAAATAAAATAACGCCACCAAACTCAGCAAAGTTTTATTGAAAACGCTCCTTTATGCTCAAAAAACTTTTATTTATTTAGTTTTTTCTTTGAATATTGGTGTTTTAGATTTCTATCTTGTTTTACAAAAATACAAACATTGTTCTATAACATTCTTATTTATTTAGTTTTAACTTTCATCTTAATTACAGTGGCGGATTAAGACTTCTTGGGGCCCGGGGCTATTTTTGTTTTTGGAGGTCTTTCTATGGACCAGAGACTAAAAATGACTAAAAAAAAAAAAAAAAGGCCTATAAAATTTTTGGGGGACCCTAAATTTGCGGGGCCCCGGGGCTATAGTCTCCCCTAGTACCCCTTGATCCGGCACTGCTTTATTAGTGGTCGACTGTAGTCTTGTTGGGAGTGAGCTACTTTATTAAAAAAAAAATAATTGAATGGCTCTAGGAAAAAAAAAAGATTATGTTGGATAGTTACCCCAGTAACTACTGCGAAATTAATTCACAGTAGTTACTTCACTTAAGAAAAAGTTTTGCAATAATGCATAAAATGTTTTTATAATAATATTTGTTGATATCTGACCCTACTTGAGCTAAAATTCTACAGAATTATTTAACAAAATATTTAGGCTAAAATTCTACAGGACTAAAAAATGTTCAAAACTTTCGACTTATATAAAAAGAAATCATTTACTTTTTAACAATTTATTAAAGAAATTTAAAAAGAAAAAAAACTTTAAAACTTTTGAAAGGAAAACCGTTTACCTTTTAACAATTTGGATACAATATGAAGACTTATACCACGCATACAAATGTCTAATCCAATAAAATTAAACATGGTCCACTTATCGCCACCAAACTCAGCAGCAGTAGTAAGTACACAAATTTCCTTTTGAAAAAAGTCAAAGGAGTGACACCAGTTTAAAAAAATAACACCAGTTTAAAAAAATAGCTATTAAAAAAAATCAAAGGAGTGACACCAGTTTTTAAATATAATGTGATTAATAATTAAAATATACATATAGAACATACATAAACAAGAAAAGTTTTAAAAAACCATACTTTGATGATAATAATGAAAAATTTAATGATAATAGTTGTTGATTTCATAATTTAAAAAAATAAGAGTATATTTTAGGGTTGTTAACCGGAGGATTTCGTGCAATTCCGGAAAAACAACATTCTTTCGTAAGGAGATTGAGAACGCGGAATTACATTTTTTCGTACCGAATGTTACAAAACATTTAAAATCGCCGATGTTCATTTCGCAAAAGCCACTTCCGAAATTTAGCATTTCGCAAGTTGACATACGAAACAAAACTATTTTGCAACATACGAAAGTAGCGGTTTCGGAAGTCGTACTTGCGAAACAAACATTTTCGCCAAACGACGTTTTGAAGTCTATAAAGAAAATTTGTTTGCCAGACTGATTTTAATTGTAAAAATTAACATCTTTAAATCCCAAAATGTTTATAATGAATTTTTATAACTCAGTATAATAACTATTAAATTTTTATGGTTTTATTTTTAGAAATATTAATAAAAAATAAAATTTCTTTCGAAACGAAAGTATTTCGGATCATAACATACGAAAGAATTCTTAACGGAAATCAACTTACGAAACGTGCCATAATAAATATATACAACGATGTTTTTTGAACTCATTACGTATATTAAAAATAAGAATGATGGGTAGGAATATACATGTGTTTTTTTTAATAGCATATGAAATTTTTGAAACAGGTTCGAATATGCTTAAGCAAATAGTAAAAAGAGGCTCAAAAATATGCTTTAGCTTAAGCATATTTCTGATAAAATATACCTATTTCAATAATTTCTAAAAGTGTTCACGTTACTAAAGTTCTAGCAGATTTTAAAGGTATGTAGAGTCCTGTTTGAATACGCTTTTCGAAGTATAGATCTTAGAAAATATTGTTTTTTAATTTTAATAAGATATAAATTTGAGTATAAGATTGTATAGTTCAATCAGTTAGATACGTGATAATTCGCCGCAGAGATCCCGGTTCGCATCCCGCAGCCATTGTAACTTTTGTTCATCAAACTCTTTTTACTTAAGATAGCATTTTTTGACCTCCATGTTCTATATTACAGATCTTTCGTCACCTTCACAATAGTGACAACCTCTCTTCTGTTAGTTATTCTTTTAAGATTGAGTTCATTGTGCTTAATTCAACACGTTTCCCTTGCTTTACTAAGTTCTACTTAAATTATGATGAAATGTACGTAAAACAACTTTTTCAAATAATATAAATCATTTTGCTTTAAATCTTTTGCTTTTTGTACTAGACATCTGTCCTAAATATTTTGTAATAATTTCTAGCTAACTCTGAGCCTAATATAACCATTTCTGAATATAATTTCCCTGAGGCTCCTACAGCCTAATGTGTTCCATTAAAAGTAACTAGTTTTTGAGTCCAGATATTAATTACAAGCATCTAAAGGTTCACATTACTATTCATTTTCCTGATATATAGAATCCTATTTGCATTCGTATCTCTTTCTGTAAATTCTGTTTTATATAGTTTCTTAATTGTATATTAAATAAATATTACTATTCACTTAGTTGAATGAACGTATAGCTCATTCAGTTAAGACATTTGGCCGCGTAGACCCAGGTTCACATCCCGCTGTTTCACATATATTTCTTCTCTTTTTACTCTTTGCTGATATCATTTACCTTTAGAGAGATCTCTCGTTCTTTATAATAAAGTATTTAATTGTTTATCACACATCCTCTTTATACTTTTTAAAAAGAAAGGCATACTGTTTATCTGTTCATTGAGAGTCCAACTTAACGGGATTTTACTGTATATATATGTATATATTTATATATATATGAATATATATATATATATATATATATATATATATATATATATATATATATATATATATATTATATATATATATATATATATATATATATATATATATATATATATATATATATAAAAGGTATATTTGTATAAACATTTGAAGAATCATTTGACAACATTTTTTTATAATTTTATTATTTATTATTTAAACTGTTAACAGTTAATATCTTAAATATATCGTAACATAAAATCTTTTGCGTCTTTTTCGTAACTGCACATTCCGGAATGCTCCTTCCGTAATGAACTATTTCGTAAGTATTCTTACGAAATGATTTGTTTCGCAAGTCTTCTTTCGTAATGCGTTATTACGGAATTTTATTTATTTATATTTTCGTATAGAGCGTTACGGAATGTGCATTTTCGCATGTGCAACTTCCGCAATAACAATTCTATTACGGAAGATAAAAATGCGAAATTTTCGTAAGTTTTGTTTTTCGGCGAACAACCCTAGTATATTTTAAAAATTAAGTGAAAATTATATCAATATATTAGAACAAAAACTTATTCACTATGCATACTAGACTCTTGTTCCATTCACAAATGTACTGATAGACAACAGAATGTTTACCATACTTCTGAGTTTTAAAAGATGGTACATTAAGTTTCCCATTATATATGTTTCTAGTAGAGTATGTTTATATTATTCTAACTTCTGTAAAAAACTCTATTATAGAAGAGAGTAAATTTTTATTAAGAGAGTCAAAAACAAGAAAAATTAGCAAATTTTACAAGCGCTGGAAAGGTTGGAGTTTTCAGTTTTTTAAAAGATTATGTTTCTGACTTTTTCTGACTATTTTTATTTGTTTATATTTAACTAATGTAAAGTGTTTGTCTTAAGTTAAAATAAATTAATTTATGCACACACTTTGATATTTATTATGCTCTTACATTAGTATACTTTATAAATTACATTATAATAAATTTATTATGTTTTAAATAGTAAAGTAAAAATATAATAAATTTTTGAATTTAATGGTGTGTGCATAAGTTCTTTTATTTTAACTTTATCATTTTATTTAAATTACTGCATTATAAGCAAGTAAGTTTGACTGACAATATAAATAACGTTGTATATCATGCAGACAGCTCAGACAAAGAAGTAAGTTTTTGCTTAAATTTACAATTTATAAGTTATACCATATTTGTTGCTGTCTTGTTCTATATAAATGTTACTAACATGCAGGTAAAATTGTTATATGTGTATAAATCTTTTTATTTTAAGTTTGTCATTTCAATTGAATTACTACATTATTAGCAGGCAGGTTTGACTTGCAATATAAATTTTTAATTTATTCATTTAGCTGTTCATTAACAAGTCCGGTGCTTTATAATATATTTAAAGGTGGTAAGGACGTGAAGAAAACAGGTTTGTAAATGATGTTGTACATCATGCAGATAGCTCAGAAGTGGAAGTAAGTTTTTTTTTTAATTACAAAAATAAATATATAATATAATTTTGTTGCTGCCTTGTTCTATATAAATGTTTCTAACATGCAGGTAACATTTATACATGTATTAGTTTGAATAAATCATTTTAATTAAGTTACATTATAAGCAGGAATGTTTGACTGGAAATATAAACGATGTTGACAACATCGTTACAACAGTTGTACATAATGCAGATAGCTTAGGCAAAAAAGAGGTAATAATCTAATAATTGTTATTTATAAATAATGATATATTCATTGCTACTTTTTTCTATATAAATGTTACCTAACATTTGGCAACATTCATAATTGTGTATAATGCCTAATTAAAAAGTAAGTTATAATAGATAATAATTATTTGTAAAATGAATCAGTAAATTAAGAAAACTAGTTAGAATGTATATAATAGTTGTATGATGTATTGTCTAGATTGGTGAAAAGGAGAATGAGACTAACTACGGTGAAAAAATAATGAATATCAAAATGTGAATGATACTTTGTTTGACATCTACCTGTTTTACAGACACAATGCAGTCGCACTTATAAATGGGCTTGATGTTTTTTTGGATTGAATATGTTGTATTGATGGCTCTTTTTAACTTGTTAAAACTTTAAGTTATAATCAAATTTATATATACTATTTTTATCAAATAGTTAATATAAAATAATAAACATGTAAATTGTTTTATTTTCTGTAAAAAAATTTTTCTTGATATATTTCAATTGTTTATCACTATGTATATCACTTATAGTATTATATTACTTGTAATTTTTTTTTTAATTTATTTTCAGTATGTTATACATATGTATGCATTAAATATTGTGGGGAACTCAAGTTTTGATGTTTTAGGTGCATTATAGCTATTTTTTTTTTAAAGATTTGTAGGATTTAACAAGATTTAAATTTTATTTTGTTTATTGATTTTATTCGAAGAAAGCGATCTCATAGATTAGGAGAACTCAATAATATTAGTGTGATAAAATTTGCTTTTATGATTTAATATGAGAATTCAAGTAACATTAGATCAAAAAAACTTGAAAACAAATCATGCTTTTTTACCATGAAAAATCCATGAGTTTTCCTTGAAAAGGTGTTCCTAACACCTATGAAAATTTCATGGTTTTTTCCGAGGATGAAAATCTCATTGAATATCCATGGTATTTGGAACACTTTTCCATGAAAAACTCATGGAATTTTTCATGAGAAACTCACGGGTTTTCCATGGAAAACTCATGGGTTTCCTATAGGAAGCTCATGGATTTTCTATGGAAAACTCATGGGTTTTCATTAAAAACTCATGGGGATCCCATCGGAAACTCATGGGTTTCCAATGGAAAACTTATGGGTTTCCCATGAAAACGTGTTCCAAATAACCATGGTTTTTCCATGGGTTTTTTTCATGGATTTTTTCATGAGAATTTTCCGTAAGGGATGTGTCTATTATAACTATCTTTTCATTGCTTGTATTAACAATGTTGCAATATTCATAGTATGTGTCACATAAATTTTTCTTCAGTTTTTAGAACACATATGTATTCCAAAAACTTGACGTTTTTTTTGAATAAAAATATTTTTTTACCGTCATCATCTTAGATCCAAAAGTTATCAAATATTCCTTGACGCTCAATCTCATTTATATTAGTAGAGCGTTTGAACTTAAATTTCTGCAACTTTTTAGCGTTACGAAATATCTTTCTGGAACTTTTTCTCCTTTCAAACTCTGATAAGCTTTATCCGACTGACGTTGTGTTTTTCATATATTTTGTTTCTAAGTACTAGTATCAGTTTTACGTTTCCTA